TAAAATACAGTATAAAAATCTTGCACTAAATCTTGCAGAGATTTTATTTAGGTTTCATTAAATCTATGAATCAATTTGGAAATTTTTATCTTAAGTATACAGATCTGAGCTAAATACAGATACTAAATTATTCAAATCTCCCTTGATTTTTAAAATTGGGATTTGTACTTTTGAGCATACAGATCCTGTGCAGGCTTTCTTAGTTTTAATGTACATTTTCATTAGCTATGAAGTGACTATAAATGGTCTTGTTTTATTAATACCTATATATATATAAATATTTTTATATAATTTTTGTTAATCATATATCTTGTCTTCTTTGTGAACTCATGTTTTCCAGATTGTTTTACTTTCCATAGTTTTGTGGAGATTATCTATTAGAAAGCATATCTTTTGCAAATAGGGATGTTTTCACTTCTTTCTTTGAAATTTCTATGAATTTTATTAGTTTTTTCTTTTTTCTTTTTTTTTTTTTTTCTTACACTTGGACACTACTGAAGCAGTTAACAGTTTCACTTTCACTTTTCTGGGACTATAAAAGCAATAATTTTAATGAGCCCAGTCTCTTGCACATTTCCATTCATAAAAAGATGCTAATTTATCAATTTGAGATGTCTGCTTTTTCTTTAATTTAATAATAATCTGGTAATCTGATGATGTTCCAACTACCCATGTTTTGGTTTAAGTGTCTAGGATAGGATTTTTTAGAATGTTGACTCTAAATTTGAACGTCATCCAATGAGGTATGTGATTTATTTGAAACTTCACTGCTTTATCTCAGCAATCAATTTTGTACTGAAAGTTCATTGCAGGTCAAATGCAATATGAAAGTAACACCTAAAGACAAAGTTGGAATAGTCAAAGTCATGTTTAAAAATATATATCCAATTTAGCATATAAGTGATTGCACTCATTGAGTATTTAAGAATCATACTTTGTTTATTCACCCATTCGTTTGCTTAGTCACTAAGTGGTTTCCCACTCTTTGCAACCTCATGGACTGTAGTCTGTCAGACTCCTCTGTCCATGAGATTTTCCAGGCAAGATTATTGGAGTGAGTTGCCATTTTCTTCTCCAGGGGATCTTCTGGACCCAGAGATTGAACCCAGGTCTCCTGTATTGGCAGGAGGATTCTTTACCACTGAGGCACCTGGGAAGGCCCAAGCCTTTTTATTAACTCAAAAGTATTAATAATAGGCCTTTGTATGGCATTTGTATGGGTTTCTCTGATGACTCAGTGGTGAAGAACCCATCTGCTAATGCAAAGGCGCAGGTTCAATCCCTGGGTCTGGAAGATCTCCTAGAGAAAGAAATGGCAACCCACTCCAGTATTCTTGCCTGGGAAATCCCATTAACAGAAGGAGCTTGACAGGCTATAGTCTATGGGGTCGTAAAGAGTAGGCACACTTAGTGACTAAACAATGATGACATGGCTTATCTATGGAAGCAAGAGACATTCTAAAAGAAGGCAAAATGGGCAGCTTCCTCCCCCAAGGTCCAGAGTTCCTTCCAAAGATAGCCTAAGAAAGCAAAGTCCTTTGTGTGCCTCCAGCTGTGACAACAGGTAGGCAATACTGGGATTGGAGTTTTCCAGAACTGGGTATTTTCCAGCAATGAAGATAAAAGTGACAAAGTTCTCTTAGGGATTGGAACTTGTTCTTAAGGTTAACTCCCCTAAGAACTGGTATGGTTGGACAAGGGAATGCTGCCTCTCACTTCATGATGCTCGCCCCAGTCAGCTGGCTTGCCCTGATACAAGTTTGACAACCAGCATCTTCAGCCAGCAGAAACCAGAGGGAATGCCCCTACTGGTTACAAGGTCTCAGGACAGACACAAGATGAAAGGAGAACTTGAAAGTCTATGCTTTCTCCACAAAATGTCTTTTTTCTGTTTTTCTCTTTTGCTTATGGAACATTTATTGTTCATATACACATGAATCTATTTCTGATATATCAATATCTTTTCATTGATATATATTGCCAATTTTTATATCAGGAGCAGACTTTAAAAAAAATAACTGTAGCTTTGGAATAAGACTGGATATCATTACTGTTTGCCTTAATGTTAATATTGCAAGTTTATTCCTCTTTTTAAAGTTAGTTCAGCTATTCTAGACCTTTTGCTCTGTATGGTTTGATTTTAGCTCCTTTATGTATTTTGGTTTCAGCTTCTCAATTCCTATCAAAAAAGAATTTCTGCTTAAATTTTAATTGTGTTTGATTTGAGAAATTGTGATATTTACCTAATATTGAATAAATCAGTAAATAAATATGGTAAGATCTCATTTGTTTATGCCTCCATTAATATCTTTCAGCAATATTTTCTAATTTTTACCATACAGGCTTGCATATTTTATATATATCTTTAAGCATTTCTTAATTATGTTGAATTTATAACAGGTATTTAACAATTTAACAAGGCTTTCCAGTAGTCATTTATGGATGTGGAGTTGGACCATATAGAGCCTAAGAATTGATGCCTTTGCACTGTGGTGTTAGAGAAGACTCTTGAGAATCCCTTGGACTGCAAGGAGATCAAACTAGTCCATCCTAAAGGAAATCAACCCTGAATATTCACTGGAAGGACTGATGCTGAAGATGAAGCTCCAAAACTCTGACCAGCTGATGTGAAGAGCCGACTCATTGGAAAAGACCCTGATGCTGGGAAAAATTGAAGGCAGAAGGAGAAGAGGGTGACAGAGGATAAGATAGTTGGATGGCATCACCAATTCAATGGACATGAGGTTGGCAAACTCCAGGAGATGATGAGGGAGAGAATGGCCTGGCGTCCTGCGGTCCATAGGGTTGTGAAGAGTCAGACACGATTTGTCGACTGAACAATAACAACATTTAACAATTCCATTTCTAATTTTTCATTTGTAGTATATAGAAATAAAAATTATTGTGTGTACTGATCTCTCTTTGAAAAATCCTAAATTTACCTTTTAATTCAATGCTTTTTTTTATAGTTTAAATTTCCACCTGTACAATCTCATTATGTATTAAAAAACACAGTTTAAAGTCTTTCTTTCCAATATGGACTGTTTCTTTTTTTCTTTGCCATATTGAATACCACCTCCATTAAAATATCAATATCATGGGAAAGATGAGTCCTACTTGCCTTTTTCTTAATTTAGTGAAAATGTTTTTGAGTTTTTAAGGATAATGAACAAAGAACAGTGCAGTCTCTATATGATGTAAATACAATTTCATAAGTGTTAAAAATAAAAAATTAAACAAAAGAGTGACAATTTAGAATACATGTAAATCCATGGCTGATTCATGTCAATGTATGACAAAAACCACTACAATATTATAAAGTAATTAGCTTCCAACTAATAAAAATAAATGGAAAAAAAAGAACAGGATATTTGTATACATATTATATATATAACAAATTGTTACATTTCTTATTACATTCTTCTTAGAAATATTGACCAAATCATGGAATTTTGTCTTGTGTTTGCTACAAAGAGATGATCAACTCATGGCAATCAATCAATAAAATAAAAATTATAGAATAAAATATATTACAATACAATATATAATATAGCACACATATATGCCTACATATATAGTTAAAGCGTTTTTACACACTCTTATGAACCAAGACTGAAGAAGGTTATCCCATAACAAAGGCACAAAGCTAGTTCAGTATAGAGTAGACCTCTTATGCAAAAGTACAAAAATAATTAGAACACATATTTTAAATAAGCAATATTTTTGTTTTTCAGACAGATAAGGAAATGTAACTATCTTGTTTGATCAAAAAGCAGATAGGAATCAAGATCCCAATAAAACGTAAAATATAACTCAAAGCTTCCATGGCAAACTCTCAAGAAATTTACCTTTTTTCCCTCTAGGTTTGTTGTGACATAATTGACAGTTAATATGGTGTAAATTTAAAGTCTACAACATGTTGATTTGATGCATTTATATAGTTCAATATGGCCACAATTTAGCACTAGTTAACATTTTCATGTTACATGATTACCATTCCTTTTTCTGAGGTAAAAATACTTAATGCCCACTCTCTTAGTGACTTTCAAGTATAGAATATTGTTAAAAACAATTAAGAAAATGTATCTGGTTCAGAGAATATTTTGGCCACCTGATGCAAAGAACTGACTCATTGGAAAAGACCCTTCTGCTGGGAAAGACTGAAGGCAGGAGGAGAAGGGTACATCAGAGCATGAGGTTGTTGGATGGCATCACTGGCTTGATGGACATGAGTTTGAGCAACCTCTGGGAGTTGGTGAGGGACAGGGAAGCCTGGTGTGCTGCAGTCCATGGGGTAGCAAACAGTTGGACATGACCAAGCGACTAAACTTGAATTACAGAGAAACGATCTGATTTAGATAAATAAAATGTTGTGAATTACTGAATTGCTAAATGTGCTAAGTCTAAGGACTTTATAGGGCTCATGTATAAAAGCAACTTCACTGATCAGAGCAGAGCAGGATCCTAATATCTTCCACGTGATAAAGGAGCATCTGTATCAATTGAGATGAATGATGAATTCAAATCACTGTACTACACTGAGCCTCCTAGAAATCACCATAAGTTTAATTTTAATGCATACCTTAGAAAAGTACAATGAATAAAAAACAGAAGTATGTGCTTACATAAAGCCACATGTACATGCACAAACACATGTAGACACTAGGAAATTTCTTCTAATAGTTGGGAATAACAATAATTCTTTGAATCCTTTTGTATATGCTACTGTTCCTCATTCAACTCTCTTTACTTGCCCTTACAGGGTCCTAACTCATTCTAAGGTATGGTGCTATTTACTTAATTATATTTGTAATTCATCTCTTCCCCTTGGGAAAGGCAGATATCTTCCCCCTTAGGGTGCTAATGTATATATAGCACATAGAAGTATGACTAGCCCTTAGAAGGCAATTTCTAAATATGTGTTGAACATTTCCATACTTTTTATTCTTTTTGGAGACACACAGAGAACATCTTGAAGCCCATCACCTAAAGTATAGGATTCATATTGTACAGAAGCCTGAAGAGAAAGAGTTGCGTAGTCTCTTCCACATCCTTTGTAGGGCGTGTTTTACATCTTTGTTCCTAAAACTGTAAATCAAGGGATTTAGCATAGGGATAATGAGAGTGTAAAATATAGATGCCATTTTATCTGTGTCAAATGAATGGTTGGACTCTGGCTGCACATACATGAATATTAAAGCCCCATAGAACACTGTGACTACTGTCAGGTGAGACCCACAGGTAGAAAAAGCCTTGTGCCTGCCTTCAGCAGAGTGCATCCTGAGAACGGATGCGAGAATGAGAAGGTAAGACACAAGAACTATCAAAAGAGAGAAAATCAAATTAAAACCTGCTGAGATAAGAATAATCAGTCCAATTTCATTTGCATTTGAGCAGAGCAAAGATAACAAGGGGAGACTGTCACAGTAGAAATGTCTGATGACATTATATCCACAGAATGATGAGTCAAATATCTTTATAGCAATAAGAAGAGACTCAAATATGCTATAGAGATATGGCATTGCCACCAGCACCTGGCATACCCTTTGCGACATGACCACTGGGTAAAGCAGAGGGTTACAGATGGCCACGTAGCGGTCATAGGACATTGCTGCCAGAATGAAAAGCTCACTAATAATGAACACAAGAAAGAAAGTGAGCTGTGTAGCACAAAAGTAATAGGAGATTTCATTTTGATCCGCCACAAAATTTACTAACATTTTGGGGCCCACGGTTGTTGAATAACCAAGATCAGTGAAAGCCAGGTGCCTGAGAAAGAAGTACATGGGTGTCTGCAGCCTGGAGTCCATCTTAGTGAGGATGACCATGCCCAAGTTGCCCACCACGGAGACCATGTAGATGATGAGGAAGAGCCCGAACAATGGAGCCTGCAGCTCAGGACGGTCTGTAATTCCCATGAGGATGAATTTACTCAGCACTGTTCCATTCTGTGTTTCCATCCAGGTTTGTGAGGAAACCTGTTCTGGGTAGACACAGCAGCAGAGTCAAAAGATTTTGTGTAAAATATCCTCTTAGATGGGCTAGTATGCAGAACTGGTAAGTAAGATAAATTTAAATTTCCAGTTAGAATATTTAAAAGTAAGTCCACCTGCCACACATTAAAATATACATAAATAGAGACAGAAGGAAATACGAAGGTAGATCAGCTATTCTCAATTAGAGTGATTTTACTCCCCCAAGAATATTTTTCCACTGTCTGGAGACATTTTGGCTCTCATAACTGAGAGTTGAAATGCTATTGGATTCTAATGTTTATAAGTCAGTTAAAGAGCTCAATATCTTAACATATCAAATATGCAACCTGTAACAATATTGAGCCAGTAGTCACAACAGTATCCGGGCTGACAAACACTATAGTATAGGTATAGAAACATAGAAAACTAGACAAAATAATAATAATCATAATAAATAAAAAAAGGAAACACAGAAAACTAGACAGAGATATGCAAATATAGATAACAAAGCAAAACCGAGAAGTTAAACAATCATAAAACTTAAGGTATTATGGATAATTATTGCACTATTCCTTAAAGTTCTATTTTTATTCTTTATAAGATATAACCACATAATGGCATTTTAAAAATTCATCAATCTTAGGATATAGTTCAGTTTAGTTCAGTTGCTCAGTTGTGTCTGACTCTTTGCGACCCCATGGACTGCAGCACACCAGGCTTTCCTGTCCATCACCAACACCCGGAGTTTACTCAAACTCATGTCCATTGAGTCAGTGATGCCATCCAACCATCTCATCCTCTGTTGTCCCCTTCTCCTCCAAACTTCAGTCTTTCCTAGCATCAGGGTCTTTTCAAATGAGGCAGCTTTCGCATCAGGGTCTTTTCAAATGAGGCAATTCTTAGCATCAGGTGGCCAAAGTATTGGTGTTTCAGCTTCAATATCGGTCCTTCCAATGAATATTCAGGAGTGATTTCCTTTAGGATGGACTGGTTGGATCTCCTTGCAGTCCAAGGGACTCTCAAGGGTCTTCTCCAACACCACAATTCAAAAGCATCAATTTTTTGGCACTCAGGTTTCTTTATAGTCCAATTCTCACATCCATACATGACTACTGGACAAACAATAGTCTTGACTAGGTGGACCTTTGTTGGCAAAGTAGTGTCTCTGCTTTTTAATATGCTGTCTAGAATATAATGCATATACTAATGATACAATAAATTTTCAATCACAAAATTCCCAACATTCATATAACCCACTACTCAAAACATAGTCTATGAAAGATATTTTTCCTTCAGATGGTACTGACTCAAATTTAGCACACCTGAAAGGTATGAATAAGTGTGTGAATAAGAAATGCATAATGGACCATAGTGGGAATTAAATTTGTTTACGTGATGAATCATACCAGGACATACCTGACTATTATAGGACATGTATATCCATGTATAGGACATGCATGTCTGTAAATACAGTGCAGTCCCTTCATTTATGGTGAGAAGAGGGCAGCAGAGGATGAGATCGCTAGATAGCATCACCAACTCAATGAACATGAATTTGAGCCAACTCCAAGAGACAGGGAAAGATAGGCAGACATAGCATGCTGCAGTCCATGGGGTCGCAGAATCAGACAGGATTTAGCGACTGAACAACAACTACTAAGGGTTAATCTGGGTCAGTAGTGTGGATTATCTAAAACTCTTTATGACCATATGTAATGGAAAACAGTGTGCACAGTTTTTGGGAAAGATTCATGAAGAGTCAATAATTCAATGAGTCTATCTTACCTGGAAATAGTTCTCAAATGTCACATACATAGTTTTGTGGGGTTTTTTAATGTTTATTTGTTTCTAATAGTGATAGTAACTTACCTGAAAGAGATTTTCTTCCTCATATAAACATATTCTCTGGACTGTGGTTTCATGTCTCTGTCAGGGTTATAATGATGGGTAAGTGAGGAGCTGGTCAAGTAGGATGTAATACATGTAATTTATTTCAGTTCCCACCCCACCCCATCCCATAACTAAATGTAGATTCTATGTCTACATTAAGGTGGAACTTGGCAAATGTCACTGAAATATTGTGGATATTGGTAGCATACTGTACCACATGAAATATTATTTTTACCTTATATTTTACCTTATATTTTACGACATGAAATATTATTTTTACCTTATATTTTACCTTATATTTTACGACATGAAATATTATTTTTACCTTATATTTTACCTTTACATTATATTTAATGAAGTTTCTGTGTTGACTCCTTCCTGTATTTCTTACACGGCTGTGAGAACAATATATGGATTCCCTCACCTTTGAGACTCTCCCTGAGGAGATGTCAAGCAATTTCTTGATTAGCCCTAATGCCTAGGAGAACACAACAAAATGTCTGGAGGTCTTTCAATAATCACCAAGGACAATTTATATTCACCAGTGAGTAAGTTTAGTACTTATTTAACTCCTATTTTTCACTCTTAGTTAACTTCCCACTTTTGGCACATGGGGCTCTTCATTCAAATGTTGTATTAATACATTTAGGAAAGGTCCGTTTCCACAATGGTCTCCTCAAAGGAGTGACATGGTAGAGAAATGTCAAAATACTTTTTTAATATATCATTTTAAAAAAAAATTAAAAGGAATTAAATTACACATTAGGTAAATGTGGACTGTTATTTCCTTGATTTAGTTGGTTTTGCTGTTTTTCTTCACCTCTGAGGCAGACATTAGTTGCTCGTTTTTCTCATTTCATAGTTAGTTGCCATCTTCAATTAGTTACAACTTCTTTTGATTTTTTCCCCTTAATGGCATATTGCAGCATTTCATTTATTTCCTTCTGTCTAATTCCAATTCCTATTCCAATTTTCTTTCCCATCTAGGAATATTTTATCCTATGAGCTCTGTATGTCTTATAATGTGTTCAGATCTTTGATTTCTTTAAGCAGCATACTTTTCAACATACATATCCTGCACATTTTCTGAGTTTCTTACTATTTCATTACCCTTTGTATTGTAAATGGAATATGTATATGTATATATACACACACATGTGTACATAATCAGTTGTTTCAGTTGTATCTTACAGTTTTCGACTGTATGGATTGTAGCCCACCTCTGTCCATGGGATTTTCCTGTCGAGAATACTGGAGTGGGTTGCCGTCTCCTCCTCCAGGGGATCTTCCGGACCCAGTGATCACACCCACGTTTCCTGTGTCTCTTGCATTTCAGGCAGATTCTTTACTACTGCACCACCTGGGAAGTCACATATATGCATATTTTTGGTTCTTGCATGTTATATATTATATCAATATATTCATATATTTATATATAATATATGCATTGACAAGATATTTGCTTGTTGAGTTTGTATCCTTTTATCTTGCTGAACTCACAATTGTGAGGGGATTCCTGAACTCACATTTTTGACAGGGTTCCTTGAGGTTTTCTGTTAGAAAAAACACGCCATTTGCAGTTATGAGAGAATCTAATTTCTTTTTTTTCCCCACATTGTATGCCTTGTATGACATCTTTTGTTAATTTCTGAGATTTCTTGTTTGATCTGCTTTGTGCAACTATACATGAATCTTCATTTTAGAATTTTTTTGCAACTAAATTTTAGACTATCTGATCTTTTAAGTCTGTCATCCTTTACTATGCTTAATAATTTTGAGAGTCATTATATTTTTGTGTGTACCAACAAGTTATTACTCTTTATAGCAGCATGGAATTCACTTGTCACGATTTACTTATTCATCTTCAGTGTAGAAACATTTAGATGGTTCCCAGGGTCTGACTAATATAAATAAAGCTTCTATTGACATTTGCATACAAAGAAATCTGCTGTCCTTTCTCTTGGGTAAGTACAAGGCAGTGGAATGGATAAATATTATGTCAGAGGTGAGATATGTTTAAAGTTTTAAGATAATTTTTTTTTGGTATTTTTATTGAAGAATAATTTACTTACAATGCTGTGTTAGTTTTAGGTGTATAGCAAACTGATTCAGTCATAGGTAAACATTTATATTTTTTTCATCTTCTTTTCCCTTAAAGGCTATTACAAAACATTGAGTATCGTTTTCTGTACTATTCAATAGGTACTTATGGCTATCTATTTTATACACAGTCATGTGTTTATGTCAATCCCAGACTCCTAAACTACCCTCTTTTTCCCCACTCAGGTAGCCATTAGTTTATCTTCTATGTCTGAGGGCCTATCTCCATTCTTATACAGTTTCATCCACATCACTTCTTTTCATATTCCACATATAAGTGATGTCATAAAACATTTATCTTTCTCAGCCTGGCTTATTTTATTGAGTATGATTGTCTCTAGATCCATCCATGTTGTTTCAAATGCCATTATTTCATTCACTGTTACTCATTTTTATGGCTGAGTACTATTCCATTCTATAAATATACCACATTTTTTATCTGTCGTGTCCAATAGTTTGTGACCCCATGGACTGCAACACGCCAGGCCTCCCTATCCATCACCAACTCCTGGAGCTTGCTCAAACTCATGTCCATCGAGTCAGTGGTGCCATCCAACCATCTCATCCTCTGTCGTCCCCTTCTCCTTCTGCCTTCAATCTTTCCCAGCATCAGGGTCTTTTCCAGTGAGTCAATTCTTTGCATCAGGTGGCCAAAGTATTGGAGCTTCAGTTTCAGCATCAGTCCTTCCTGTTAATATTCAGGACTGATTTCCTTGGACTTCCCGAGGAAACCAGCTTGGGCTTCCCTTGTGGCTCACCTGATAAAAAATCCACCTGCATTGCAAGAGACCTGTGTTTGATCCCTGGGTTGGGAAGATCCCCTGGAGAAGAGAAAGTCTACCCACTCTAGTATTCTGGCCTAGAGAATTCCATGGACTATATATATATATATATATATCCCAATATAAATGGGCAGAAGATCTAAATAGACTTTTCTCTAAAAAGATATACAGATATCCAATGCTCTACATTGCTAATTATTATAGAAACAACGA